CTCTGACTTAGACATGACAGCAGTGAGGGGGGAAAAAAAAAGACGATGCTTCCTCCGCGCTGTCCACCAGCAGAAAGGAGTTAAGTACGCTAACGAACGTATCTCAAAATTATAAATTCTTAAACACCAAGGGTAGCCATTTCTGAGGTTTACTACAATTTCACACATTTAAATATCAAGTTCTTGCTACTAGGGGGTGTCGCATTTAAGATCATATTGGCCTTGGGAAAAGAATGATTGAGTTTTTACTACTTGTATCTAACTACATTTAACAGCAAGAATTACAGTTGCTTTTGGTTAGAAGAGTAATTGTGCCCCTAGGTTGAATTGGACTTATGTTCTCTGTGGTTCTTCTCTCTCCAGGGCATGTGCACATCACAGACTTCAATATCGCAGCGATGCTGCCCAGGGAGATGCGCATCACCACCATGGCGGGCACCAAGCCTTACATGGGTATGAGCTTTGTGGGCACTGTGGTTTCTAAGAGAAAGGCTTTAATTTTTATTTCTATGATGTTCTCAGTACCTGTCAAGTCAGCCTCCAACTCATGGTGACCCTATTTAAATACCATCTGTAGGGATTTGCAGCTGGAAATGACACGTTTCTCTCAGATTATTTTGGGGAATGTTAGGATTTCATGTGTCTGAGGTAAGCCTCAGAATTCTCCATTCTAATAAGTATAAGTACCTCAGGTCATCTTTACTCAGAGCCTTAAACTACATTTTGGAATCACTTTTTTGGGGGGAAAATTAGTTTGTTGTTTTTGTAAAAGTATACACAACCAAAGATACACTATTTACTATTTCAACTATTTCTGCATGTACAATTCAATGACCTTGGTTACATTATGCAACTTTTACTACCGTTCTCACGATCCTTTTTTCAAATTATTCCACCACCATTGTTTTACACTTGCTGTTCCCTAAGCTGCCTGTTTAACTAGAGTTACTTTTGTCAATGTGATCTCACATAGATAATTCTTTAAAAGAGCACAATACTCAAAACAGACATATTTCAGTAATCAAGTTACTTTTTGTTGTTGTTCAAAAACTGGGGATAGTGTTGGTTTAAGGTTTAAAGTTTAAAGATTGCCTTTGAATAATAGTTACAGGACTCGTTCAATCTCAAAGCCTCTCATAAGCCTACATTACTCTGAGAAGCTGACATTTTGTTCTGCAAGTTTACACCTTTTAATGAGCATTCTCCTGTAGAATCCTTGATCAAAATATTCATTAAATGGTAGCGAGACACTATCCAATTCCTCCAGTCTCATAGAAAAGGACACAGGCAACCAATTATGCATGTCATTTCCTTCTCATATTTTTGGTAATCCTTCTTTCTCTATTGCTTCAGGTGAATGAGTATCAACAGTACCTTGGATGTCTGCTTGCTAGCTTTTAGGACCCCAGTCACTATGCAATGAACTAAGAAGGTAGAACAGAAGTACTGAGAGACAATATTAGGCCGATTGATTGTGATTACCCTCAAACATATGAGCCTAAACCTACAAATCAAGGAAACAAATCTCATAAAGTATTTGGTTGTGGATAAGCAGCCTCAACAGCTTCATTTTTAAGAGCTAACTGAGATAGTTACTTCTTATGACCTAACGAAGAATATCCATAAATTCAGTTATAATCTATAATTGCCTTTATGTGCTCAGCACCGTTGAGCAAATATTGAGCAAAATAGACAAGGTTTCTATCTCATGAACTCACCTAATATTGGGAGGAGGTTGAAGATAGAGTAAGACGTAATAACCAATAGGATAGCAATAAGGAACTAAAGAATTCTTATAACTACTATTTACATAATATTGCATTACATCTGTAAGGTTACAAGATTTACAAAGAGTCTTTCCAGTTAGGATTTTTGTTTTCATTTTCTTGAGACAACAATCCCATG